AAGGTGACCACAAGACTCCTCTGTCATTCTAGATGTAGAGTTATGCCCTGACCTGGATGGCCCAGGCTAGCCTGATCTTGTTAGCTCTTGGAAGCCAAGTAGGGTTGGCCCTGGTTAGTACTTGGAAGGGAGATGTCAGTGAACTGCCGTTTGTATTCTGTGTATGCTCTGCTGCTGGATGAGGGGGGGGGGGGGGTTAGCTCGCATTGCTCTGTTCTCACCCTCCCTCTGGCTGTCATGTTGTGGGAGGCGGGACAATGCGTCGGCCAAGGAATTTGATTTCCCCAGGAAATGGTGGAGGGTGAACTGAAACTTAGAGGGGAAAATCAGCCCACCGCAGTTGTTTAGCATTCAGGTTTCTGGGCATACGGAGTACCTCTAGGTTTTTATGGTCCATCCACACTTCGAACGGGACCCTCACCCCCTCCAACCAATGGCACCACGTAGTTCTCTCTCTCCCTTTTTATTAAGCGATAAAGCACACGGGGAGGATGAGAACAGACCAATGCAGGCTAATCCCCCCCCCCCATTATACAGCAGGCAGGTTACACAGAATACAAATGGCAGTTTACTGACAGGAGGCCACCAAGGAAGCCCAGGGCTGCTATGCACAGGCAGGCAATGGCAAACCACCTCTGTTCATCTCTTGCTCTGAAAACCCTATAACTTGATGGCATATTCCACTGCCAAAGATATGCGTTGTTAAACCACACTGGTCATCCACATAAGTCAAGGACTGGAAGCAAGGAGGACCTGCTGTTTGTCTTGGAATGTCTGTTCATGGTTTGGAGACTCCGGATAGACTAGGGATTCCAAGGCAGTATTGACTGTCCAGGTGTAGAGCAGACCCAACTTGCAGAATTGGTCCCAGAGGTGCAGTCATTCTTGGAGATTATGGCTTGAACAGTATATTTTCCTTCTTCTTGCCAAGCATGGCCCTCTGTTGCAGAGGCACAATCCTTTGGTGCAAGGAGCTTTCTCCTCATGCAGAATTCTGTGCCATGTATCAGTAGAAAGCATCTAGTGCCAGAGGACCAAGTCCCACAACAGAAGACCACATGGCACAAGCAGAAGGAAAGTATAAGATCCAAGCCATTATCTAAACCAGCTTTTCAAAGTTAGATCTGGCTTTCTTGACCTCAGTAGCAACCCTGGGCCATACTGTTCATTGTAGGCCACGTACAGTGCCAGATGTTTTCTACTTGCTTTGAAACAGTTTGAAGGAGATATTGAGAAGCTGCCACTGTCGTGCACAAACTCCTATTCCAGATCATTCTTCATTGTCCATGTTGGAGTAAGGGAGCACATCTGCTCCAGAAGATGCTAGGAGACATTCTGGATTCCAGCTTCTTCCGAGGAAATGTCCACTGAACTTTAGAAACCTTTGTCAATGGCCTGGTTAAACTATAGGGCAACGAGATGGCACAGTCACTTATCGACATCACCTCCTGTTGCTTCTTTGCCTATCCTGGTTTATAAGGGGCATTGGGAAGCCAAAGAAAGCCTGGCCAGAACCACTGGGCCTCACTCAGGTCTCAAGGACACCTTACAATTTCAGTGATGTTCTACCCTTTCACAAATTCAGGTGCGGGGGGATTGCTTCATCAGGGAGGAGAGTGGCATATGAAGAGAGGGAAACATCAATTCTTTCCTCCCCTGCTATTCTTTCACCAGCAAGAGTCATCCCTGAACTGCTTTTCACTTCTGCTAAGGGGGAAAAATGTAGGTCTTGGTAAGTCCTGGACAGCTAAGTTTGCAAAAGAAAAAAAAACAAATGCTTAAAATAAACATGGAAGAAATTGGACCAAACAGTTGAGCTCTCGGACAAAAAGTCAACCACTTACAGCACGGCGGCAGCCAAGGAGGCAGGCTTTCTTTTCCTATTGATGCAGCATCTGTAAGTAGTACACAGATGAGCTGTTTGGGGAAGCCACTGGCCCGGGTGACTCACGCCCATCTCTCAGGAAGAAGTCTGCAGGTCTCCTCTGCATGGGGACAATACAGTCCGAGCCTCTCCTTAAGGCCAAGAGTTAAGTTCAGAAAAAAGGTTATGTGGTGGGGGTTCCTCTCTGTGCATTTGGATTGCAACACAGGATCTCCAGGTTAGAAAATATAGGTTTTAAAGGTATGTTTAATCCACAGCAGTTTTTGTGAAATCACTTTGTGGGAGGGAAGCTGGCCTGGCGTAGCCCGATCTCATCAGATCTCGGAAGCTAAGCAGGGTCAGGGCTTGGAATGGAGACCCTCAAGGAAGGCTCTGCAGAGGAAGGCAGTGGCAAGCCACCTCTGCTTCTCACTGGCCTTGAGAGGCCCTTGCGGGTTGTGGCTTGTTGGCACATATGTACATAACCACTTAGTAAGGATACCCAAAACCTTGAACTATGAAAAGGGACTATGGTACCATAGTAGAAGATATGCTTTGGAGCAGAAGGTCTGGGGTTTGGCTAGCATGAGCACACAAGATCCTTCTCTTCCTGAGACTGCTCCTTCGATGGAAGTCTTGAAGCAAAGGCTGAATGGCCCTCGGCTGGGCAACTGCAGTTGGATGGCCCTGCACTGAGCAAGAGGGTTGGACTAGATGGGCAGCAAGTCCCCTTGGAGAGTCTCTGCAGGTCTGCAGAGGCAGCACTGGGTTAGACGGCCCAATGGTGTGAATCAGTACAAGGCTGCTCCATACAAGCAAGGAATGGCATTTGATTTCTCCATAGATGACTAACACATACTTGATGACAACTGGCAACTGAATAAATTCTTTTTAAGGTTTTGGAGAGCGAAATAAAACTATTGGCTGTGGTTTGCATTCACACACATGCAGGATGAATGTGCAGTTGCAAACCAGTCCTAGTTTCATGGTTTGGCTGCACTGTGCCCCAAATCTGCAACACTGGGTGTACCCACAGACAACGACACCTTCTTCTATTTAATTCAGGCCAACGCAACCTCTTATGTCAACTGTATACTGCCCATCATTTCCCCACCCCCAACTAGAAGCATTTTCAAGCAAAAATAGTTGCCTCCTTTCTAATTTGCATTATTTTGAGGCTCAGTTCATACAGCCAAACTGGCATGTCATGAATGTCTAGTGATTAACGGATATGCACAGCTATGCTAAAATAATCATGGAATTGTTTCAATGCACCCAGTTTCCAATTCAGCTTGCATTCAGCGTGGTATATTCCAACGTAATTATAATCTTCTGCATTAAAAAAAAATAATTACCCTCATACATCTAATGAAAACGGCTGCCCCAGTACAGGCACATGCCAAAATATATTAATTGCAGTTGATTTACACATTCTACAGAATTCTGATACTTTCCCTGGACTATAACATTTCAAGCTATAGGGAGGTGGGCATGTTTGAACACTAGAAGGAAACAAACCTCGCATGTAGAAAACCAGTATGCTTGATAAGCTAGTTTTCTACAAACATGGAGTTTTTTCCCCAGTGGGAAAGCACTCCTCTACCTGCAGCCTAAAATGGAAACACTTAAATCACCTGAGTTTTTGCTGAATGTATCTACTAGATTTCTAAGGGTTCCCATAAAGTATATTGCATCATTCTGCTGACAATGTGTCATGGACATATCTACAGCTAGTCTTGTTGCTTGGCACAGCCTTGCTCAGTCAACTTATGTAAACCCGCCAGCCCCAGTGAAAACACGTGCACGGCCAAAATGTGGGTAAACTGAAGCACCTGACATTGGCAAGATAGTGGAGGAAACACTAAAGGGGGTGGCATTGATGTCACAACTCACCATCCAGTTACGTGCCCATGACACTATCAGAACCCCTAACACAGAACATATGTATGATCACCATGCATACTGGGATTTTTAAAAAGTTTCTCAGTTACTACCAGTTTGATCACTGAGAAACAGTGACCTCCCAGAAACCATTGCTCTTCTCAGGTCATTATTTTGGTTGCTTCAATTCTACCTGCAATCCTGCCCCCCCCAAAAAAAACAACAACATTTGATACAAAATTTAAAATCCAGGTCACTCTTTGGACATATCTACACTACAGTCTCTTCTCAAACCAAACCACTTTCAGGGAACCCTGGGAAATGTAGTTTTGTAAAGCTAAATATATGCCCTTAGCAGAAAATTCTCAGTGCCTTAGCAAACCTAAATTCCTAGGATTCTTTAAGGAAAACCACAACAGTTGAACTGGTACAGCTTCATGGTACTGATATACCTACTATCCTTCCGGTGCTGCAGACTATCACAGCAACTCACTGTTGGTGCCCACTAAGATCTTGTTTCTCAAATCTGAAGTAATTTCCTTCCCAGTTTATGCCAGTGTTCACTCCGTCACTGCCATCCTCCTCCATTGTCATCATTTTTGAGCCCATAGGAACAACCTAACAACCCTGAGGTGAATGCTTTCTTTCTGGGTAAGCTTAGCCTTTATCATCCTGCCAACAGGTCAGGAGAAGGCTCGGTATAAAATAGCTAAACTTATGAAGTGGCCTTATATCAAGCCAGCCTATTGGTCTCTCTAGCTCAGCACGGACGGCTTCAAAAGGGAATTAGATAAGCATATGGAGCAGAGGTCCATCAGTGGCTATTAGCCACAAGGTATAGATAGGGGCTCTGGGGGAAGTGATGCTCTGTCTTCTTGGTGCTTGGGGGGGGGTCAACAGTGGGAGGGCTTCTTATGTCCTGGCCCCACTGGTGGACCTCCTGATGGCATCTGGTATTTCTGGCCACTGTGTGATACAGAGTGTTGGACTGGATGGGCCTTTGGCCTGATCCAACATTGGCGTCTCTTATGTTCTTATTAATTGTGATTGGCAGAAACTAGAAAGGTCTTTACCAAGAACTGCTGCTTGATATCCTTTAACTGGAGAAGCCAGAGATTGAACCTGGGACCTTCCACAAGCAAGGAGGTTGCTCTACCGCTGAGGCAAGGCCCCTTCCCAGCATGGTTGTCTCTATTTGCCCTCCACTACTCAGAGCAGCAAAACGAGCTCAGCTTGGGTCCTCTTGCCCACCTACCCATGTAGAGAACGCCTTCTTTCGTCTTCCCTGCTGCTTCTGTCATGCCTTGCTTGGTCTTCTCTGCTGCCGCCACAACACCTTCTTTGGCTTTATTAAATCCTTTCATGAACACATCCATGGTCAAAGAGTTTTGTATTTTCAGCACTGGAAAGAAAGGCAACAACAACACATTCATTAGAGGTATCATGAGAGCAGGCGGGGGTGAGAATGGGATGTATGCTTCTCCATACCTGCCTAGGGACCTCAACTAGGAGACTCAGGAAGATTAATGTATGAAGGGGAAAGAAAGCAGGATTGTGCCTTAACGGCTCTGTCCCCGATACCCACATTATACTTTTTTCATATGTGTGTGAGTGTGCGTGAACCTGGAAGTCATGGCAACCTCTGGTGACTGACCCCTACTGGGGGCCTGGAGGATATTCAGAGAGGTGGCTGAATAAAGCCTGCCCCTGTCTCCCAACTGCTAGTATTCCTTGGAGGTCTCCCATCCAATTACTTGCCAGAGTGGACCCTGCTTAGCTTCTGAGATCTGACGAGACTGGGCTTGCCTGGGCTATCCAGGTCAGGGCCCCACATTATACTTTTTATCCTGTCCTTCCTCCATAATATTCAGAGCAGCATAGAGACCTTCCCCTCCATTTTGTCCACACAGTAACCCTGTGAGAAAGGTGAAACACTATTACTGTCCTCAGATACATCCGCTCAGCTGTTCTTAACCTTTAATTCGCTACTACTCACTAAGTGCCATCGACTGTTATTGTTGAAATACTACTGGATTTTTTTGCTATTGGGTTTTAATTCATTGTTATACTATTTTTAAATATTGGATTATGTTATTTATTGTATCGTTGTAACCTGCCCCGAGCCTGCTTGTGGGAGAGGGCAGACTAGAAGACAAATAAAGACAAGGATATAGATAAGTATGCAATATCATCATCATCAAATGTCCTACAAGCCACAAGTAAAAAAACAACGAAAAACAACAACTGGGACATAAAAATAGCACTCCATGAAAGGCAACACCATGAGAGCCAGTGTGGTTTAGTGGTCAGAATGGCGGACCAGGATCTCAGAGAACTGGGTTCGAATCCCCATTCTGCCATAGAAGCTGGCCAGGTGACCTTGGGCCAATTACACACACTCAGCCTAACCTACATCATAGGGTTGTTGTGATGATAAAGTGAGGGGAGGAGAACAACGTAAGCTGCTTTGGCTCCCCACTGTGGAGAGTGTTGGGATATAAATGAAATAAATAAATAAACATAAATCCAGAGACTGACTGAAGCCTTGAATAGACAAGATAGAAAAACCCCAAGTTTGCAGAAAAATCTGAAATCTAAATTTTAAAAATATGGGGTTAAAAATCCAAATAGAAGCAGCACCTATCCCTTTTAAAAAAAGAAGATCTCAGTGGCCACTGTGGGAGTTGCTAGGCAACAACAGTAGTGCCAATCTTCAAAACTTGCTTGGTTTCTGACAGTAAAAGGCAGGGGAGGAGGGCCCTTTCCAGGGCTATTTTGGACTCCCAATCCCCCCCTGCTCCCCTCGCTTCTGCCCTGTAGGAAGGACTCATTGGGGCCAGGTCAAGCCACAGCCACTGGGCAACTTACTACCATGCAATCTGTGCCACTCATCCAGGTGCAGTGAGGGGGTATTGAATGACTTGGTGCCCCACAACTTGCATGGGACCAGCAACAGCCTCCATACAACTTGTGTAACTTGACCAGGCCTGGCAGTACTCACCACACTATTCACCTGAGTAACTTCCTGCCACATGACTTTTGCAACTGGGCCAGGCTTTTCCACAGGGGGAGCCAGGGGGAGGGAAAGCTGAGAGCCAATGTGGTGTAGTGGTAGAGTACCACACTAGGAACCGGGAGACCCATGGGAGACCCACCACTCTACCAGGGAACCTTGCTGGGTGACCTAGGGCCAGATACCTTCTCTCAACCTACTGTACCTCATATGGTTGTGGCGAAAAGAGGAGAAGGATGTAAGCTGCTTCGTGTCCCCTTTGTGGAGAAAGGGAGATATAAATGAAATAACACACCAAGCTGAAGACTGAGGGAGACAAATAAAAGAAAGGTTGGTTTGTGAGTGGGGAGAAGAAAAGGAAGCAGGGAAAGGGGAGAGGATATGGCAGCCTCCAGGAGAGAAAGATGCAACAGTGTGGAGGGTGGGATAGTGGATAAGTGACCCCTGCAGGTCCTTGTGGGATCCCCACTTCTCATCCATATAGTTATAGGTATGATATAAGCATTCAATACACAGATCTCAGACACATATTCCATGAGACCCTTGTGCCCAATGGCCAACCGCCAACTCCTTAACATGAGGCTTGATTCCTATTAGCTGGGTGCCACAGTTTTAAGAACCTCAGATTTTATTCACAGGTTGGGGTGAGCAGCATAAAACAAAACTCCACTGCCTGCTGTCCGTGCACCTTTATGTATGAGTACTGGCACACCCTCCCCACAATAAGGGGTGAGTCTGTATGTGTATATTTTGTGACTACTGTTGCCTCATGCTGGGAAGTTGATGCTAGGCCTTTATTTGCTCAATAAGCTTTCCTTGATTGCTGGAAAGAAAAAAAGAAGCTACCGCAAGTGGGGAAAGGGGGCTGCTTATTTATTCATTTAATTACATTTAAAAATCACCCCATCCCCACAAATTCTAAACTTCCAAATGCCCCCTTCGTTTGTCCTCAAAAGGTCTCAGTGCCCTCAGATTTGTACGTTGCTTACACCTGGGGAGGGGGGCACGAAGCCCTAGTTAAGAAGCCCTCCTCTGACCACGACACCATATACCACACATGTTGTCTTGCTCACCAGTACTGGCCCTACTCACATAAAGCAGGATGCACACCGTGTGAGCTGGAAAACTGCAAGTTACATATTGCACGGGTAAAGTCTATGATTATCGGCTCTGTGCAAAAGATTCAAGCATACTTATGCCCCCCCCCCGGCATACTACTCAGATTCACAAAGCCCACATTTGGTTGCCTGCTCATGGCTTTACATTTATGCACGCTTTTCTCAGAGGTGAGTATTTCTAAACCACCGATGGCTTTGTATGCAAAGAAATCACATTGATGATGTTCCATATTTCCTGGAGAAAATGCAAGGCTCAGCATATAGAGTTGCAGTTCTCTGAACAGCTCTGATCTTAGGGGACCATGTAGTGACCAAGTCTTGCATCAACATAGACGACTGTCAAACTGTATAGCCCAGGGCTATACCTTATGCTAGCTAGAGGAGGTTTCAACTGGAGTTTTCCCCCAGCCACACTCCTTTAACCAGACTTGAGCCGAAGGCAAGGGGGATTATACTTGCAAAGTGGGTGATCTACCAAGGAGCTCTGCCGGCCTTCCCTTTGCTAAATCTTAGAAACTGGCATCCTCTCTCCACTCAAACAGAAGAGGATTGACCAGTCATTACAGAACACAAGAGAGACGCCTGCACTATGATGCCTGATCCTTTGAGTTCACACATGCATGTTCATCACTCAGTAAGTTCAATATTCAATTTTGGCTGGCATGCATCAGGCAGCTGTCAAGACCACACAATTTTCACACATTGCATATCAATATTATTATCCTCCTTTCAGAGAGCTCAGGACAGTGTACACGTGAACACATGAACCTGCCTTATACTGAATCAGACCTTTGGTCCATCGAAGTCAGTATTGTCTACTCAGACTGGCAGCAGCTCTCCAAGGTCTCCGGCAGAGGTCTTTCACATCCCCTACTGCCAGATCTTGTAACTGGTGGTACTGGGGATTGAATCTGAGACCTTCTGCATGCCAAACATGTGCTCTACCACTAAGCCACAGCCCCTCTCGGTGTAACTCCCACCTACGCACCCGCCCCCATTTGAGGTAAATGACCTCTACAGTTAACAGCCAGTGTGATCTGGGAGATCCGGGCTCGAATCCTCCACTGTTCCAGGGAAGCTCAGTGGGTGACCTTGGGCCCATCACTTGCCATCTTAGCCTAACCCACCTCACATAATTTGTTGCGTGTACAAAATGGTGGAGAAGAGAACAATGTTGTATGCTGCTTTGAGTTCCCCTGGGGGAGAAAAGTGGGGTATAAATATTCAAATAAATAAAATTCATGCCTGAGTAGGAACTCGTGAAACTTCCTGATACTGAGTCAGTCCACTGGTCTATCGGAATCAGTACTGTCCACCCTACCCTGACCTGGATGGCCCAGGCTAGCCCAATCTTCTCAGACCTCAGGAGCTAAGCAGGGTTGGCCCTGGTAGATATTTGGATGGGAGACCACCAAGGAAGACCACTATGCAGAGGCAGGCAATGGAAACCACCTCTGAGCATCTCTTGCCCTGAAAAGCCTACGGGGTCTCACCATAAGCGACTTGATGGCACTTATCCGCTCTGACTGGCGGCATCACTCCAGGATCTCAGGTAGAGATCTTTCATTTCACCTACTAACCTGATCCCTTTAACTCTAGAGGCTGGGGACTGGACTTGGTACCTTCTGCACGCAAAGCAAAGGTTCTGCCACTGAGCCACAGCCCCTAGCTGAGCTCACATCCCCCAGACTGGAGAATCTGAGAGAATATCAAACCCACCCTGGCATTCATCTCGACTGCTTCAATCACAGCCCTTTTCAATGGCAGCTGTGCTCATCCTCCATTGCGAGTCATCAGATGACACATCAGCTCATGTACAATCAAGAGATGCACATCCTTGTCTTTTAAAACTGCTCCCCGAAGACATTGAGAACTGACAGGACCTAAAGCCCTGATACAAATCTTTACCAGAAGCCTCAGCTCAGTTAAGGAAGCTTCAAATCCAATATGGATAGATGTCCATGTAACTACCATTACAAGTAGCTACAACGGAGAATCTGTGGGTATATGTGTATGAACCAGTGGCCTTATCGGTCACCTCTGGTGATACACTGTGCAGTTTCATACCTACGCTACGTTTCTTGCTCAGTGAGTTTGTGTAAGTCATTCCTATGGTAGTATGAAAAGAAATCCTCCCATTAAAACAAGGGGGGGGGGAAGACACTGGTTTATATCCAGACATTCCACCCTGATTCGTGCTTATTCAGAATTCAGGTAGGCAGCCATGTTGGTCTGAAGCAACAGGGCAAAGTCTGAGTCCAGTGGGGGCACCTTTAAGACCTAAGTCTAATTCTGGGTATTAGCCTTCATGTGCATACACACTTCTTCAGAATTCAGATTCCTCAGCAAGACTGGTGATTTGACAAAATGTCAGCGAAATTTTAGGCAAGTCTCTTGTTTTTTTTTAAAAAATGTTTGTTCTAATGTATTTTTGATTTGTTTTTAATGGCTGTTTCAAACCTCAGCAAGACTGGTGATTTGACTAAACGTCAGCGAAATTTTAAGCAAGTATTTTTTTTTAATGTTTGTTCTAATGGCTTTTTGATTTGTTTTTAATGGCTGTTTCAATGGCCTTAGTTAGCCTAACGCAACCTTCAGCAGGCCTCTGGAGAGAGGGCAGATACATTTTTCCAAATAAAACAAACCTATCGTCATGTGTCTTCTACTGTAGTGTTTACAGGTATTATACTACTTTTAATCCAGTTTTAATGCATTGTTGGTTAGACGGATTCCTGATGTATTGTTAATTGTGTAACCTAAGCCTTAATTAGAAAGAAGGAAGGAAGGAAGGAAGGAAGGAAGGAAGGAAGGAAGGAAGGAAGGAAGGAAGGAAGGAAGGGAGAGAGAGCCTAATTCTATGCATAGCTACTTGGAAGCAACTGTACTCAATGAGACTTAAATCCTGTGTGCACAGAAGTGCAGCCTTAATTTTGGAGGACCCCAGAAATGCCCCCCCCAATGGCTGAATTTCAAATTGCTGAAAACATAAGCGCTGCCTGAGCCTCAACTGCCTGGCACATGAAGCTGCCTTATACCGATTCAGACCCTTGGTTCATCGAGGGCAGTACTGTCTACTCAGACTGGCAGCGGCTCTCCTGGTTCTCAGGTGGAGGTCTTTCACATCACCTCTCAATACTTGTTCCTTTTACCTGGAGATATCGGGGATTGAACCTGAGACCTTCTGTATGCCAAACAGATGCTCTGCCACTGAGCCACGCTGTCTCACTTCCAAAAAGCGCCGGACAGATCCCAAAGAGTTAGCGCTTTATAGATAATTCCTCTTTTTAACCCCATTTTACTTATCTCGGCTCCCCCTCTCTCTCTAATGAGAGGAAGGAAAGCTCAGAGCGCTGTACATCTGCGCCGCAGCAGAGTCCTTCCAAACTGTGCACGCATGAGTAATCCTTTAAAAATAGGAGTGTGGATCCTGATTAAACACCCTGCAAACAAAATCCAGCAGCTCCCATGGAGTGAGGTGATGGGGCGGAGCTTGAAACGCGCTTCAAAGGAGGAGTCTGCTCCCAGGCATCTCAGCTCTCCTCAGTGTTTTTTTCCCCAAAAACCCCCCCCCATTGTGAGGCAAACATC